TATAGGGACAGCAAGAAGGGAGTCAGTRGGGCAGAGGGTGCCCCTGGCTTGGGGCTTTGGTCTTTAGAATAAAATATGAACTCTCCCCAGGCTCTCCTCCTGGGACTCTTCCTGATGCTCTGGCCTGGTGCCTGACCTCCCTACATGGGGCAAGGAGAGTTCCCAGCTTGGAAACTCCAGCTCTGTTGCTGAGGGACAAGAGACCCTGTTCCCAGAAGTGGTGAGTTCTCTTTCCTCTTTTCATTCTTTTTAATCCTTTAGATTTCTTGGGATTCTAAGGTTCAGTGGAGAAATAATCCCTTTTCTTCTTATTCAAGAATGTCTTAAAGGATGAAATTGGACAGCGGTTAACTGTCATTTAAAGAACATAAAAGGGGACGAGGACAGACAGACTTATCTAAAGACTCTAGCTATTACTGTCATCATTGTTAATTTTATAACTAATAAGTATTTAGACTGTACTATCTTCTGGGTCCCGTGCTATKCGATTTCAGACTGATCATTTGTAGACTGGCAGGGTTTTCTTAAACTGCTTGGGATTGGCAAGGGACTGTCTGTTGTAATCTTTTTTTTTTTTTTTCCTGATTTATGTTTTTAAAATTCAACAGTTTCAAATTTAAAATGTAAATGACTGCCTGGGGAAAAATATTTCCAACATGTGTAGTGGAAAAATATTGCTTACTTATATGAATCATTTTGGAAACTATTAAGAAACAAACCCTCCAACCAAAAATGAACAAAATACATAGGCAGATCATTGACAAAACCCAAATAATAAATGAGTTATCAAAGAAATTCAAGTGAAAATGAAAGACCATTACATTTTTAGAAAAGAGATGCCATTTTGTTACTCACCAAAGCAACAACAATTGATAATATCTACTGAGGGCAAGGTTGTGGGGGGAAATAAGTAATTTATCATACTTTGAAAACTGATATGAGCTTTCTGACGGGCAGTTTGGTAATGCAAATTAAAAATCCTATTTTGAAGATGAGAAACTCAAGGCCTAAGAGTTTAAGTGACTTGCTTAACTGTGTAAAGTCATACAGGTAGTTAGGGGCCACTCCACCATTAGGACTCAGCCTCCTGATTCCAGCCCATTAATCAGATGAACATCGATTGTAGCAATGTTCAGAACAGCAATGCATTAGAAAACAATGGAGATATCCTACAATCGAAATTATTTTAAAAATTCTCAATGTTTGTGATGGAATACTGGAGCCATTAAAAATATTTAGTGGTATTGGAAAATGTGTATCCTGCAGTGCTTGGTGAAAATATCAGATATCAAGATGATACAGCATACCCTATTTTTTTAAAAGGTTATATACATGCATGGAAAAAAGATTTGAATAATTGAGCTGGGGTTATAGCTCAGTGGTAAAGTGCTTGCCTAGCATGTATGAGGCACTGGGTTCAATTCTCAGCACCGCATAAACAGTAAGTAAGTAAATAAATAAATAAATAAACAAAGGTATTGTGCCCATCTGCAACTAAAAATTAAAAAAGAAAGATTTGAAGAATATTATAAATGATTCAAAATTGGGAAGGGGATTTCTAGACTYTCTTACAATAAGTAGGAGAGAAAAAGCCCCAAATCGTGGCATGTCTGTTAAACTTTAGGAAGTGAAATCATGTTTTATATTTATTAGGGGAAATATCTTCATAAAGGAATTCCATGATAATTATTCTGTAAAGTGAGGAATCATTTGCTCATTTTGTAACTCATGACACAGAGCTATGCATGCAAACATTCATTCATGCATGCATCTATTTACCCATGTTTTGCATTCTGCTTCCAGAAAGGTTCTGGCAATTTCACTTGCATAGTACCTTAACGTGTGCATAACTGCCTTGCTTGTTCTAATTGTAAAAAGTCAACAATATCTTCTTTCAGGGTTGTTGTCAGTACTAAAGACAGTATTCTTAGAGTATCTAAGATGCAATAAATGGGAGCTATTGTTAATATAGAACCATATTGCAATTAAAAATATATTTGATGCCTGTAATCCCAGCAGCTTGAGAGGCTGAGACAGGAGAATCAGGAGTTCAAAGCCAGCCTCAGCAATGGCGAAGCACTAAACAACTCAGTGAGACCCTGTCTGTAAATAAAATATAAAATAGGGCTGGAGATGTGGCTCAGTGGTCGAGTACCCTTAAGTTCAATCCCTGATATATATATTTGAGTTCATGTTAATTCAGTCATACACTAATATAATAGTGAGTACTGTAATGTTCATACATGTTACATGAGAACATGATGGGGGAAGGGCCATTCTGGCCAATCAGATCAGAAGAATCAATCCTAGAAATCCATGTGGTGACAAATGGTTCTTACATCCATTAAAAAATACCCAACTGGCAGTGCTTCTTAATCTTACCCTCTACACTGTGGGCTAGAGGTCCCCACTGAGCCACTGTAGCTACCTATAGCATCTGTATACTCAACCCCATGGGGACCTCCAGCTCTCCAGCTCTGCTTCTGTTCTTTCTCCTTCCCTTCTTTTTTCTTTCTTTCTTTCTTTCTTTCTTTCTTTCTTTCTTTCTTTCTTTCTTTCTTTCTTTCTTTCTTTCTTTTTAAATACACGACAGCAGTGGAAAGCATTACAATTCTTATTACACATATAGGGCACAATGTTTCATATCTCTGTATATAAAGTATGTTCACACCAATTCATGTCTTTATACATGTACTTTGTTGTTTTTTTGCATTACAATTCTTAATACACATATATACCACAATTTTTGTATCTCTGTTTGTAKATAAAGTATGTTGACACCCAATTCAAGTCTTCATACATGTACTTTGTATAATGATGTCCATCACATTCCAYCATCCTTCTCCTTCCCTTCTTGATCAAGCATCTCCTCCTCCTCTTAATAACTTTGTTTTCTGACAATAAAAATAATATATCTTTGAGGCAGAAAATTTGGAAAATATAAAGGAAAATACAAACAAAAACCATAGGATGACCTTAATCCTCTCCCTACACCCAGGAATAGCCACTGTTTAATATCTACATTCTTGCCTRTTTTCTTCCAAATCATCATACTATATATAGTTTTTAAAAACTTATTGTAGTGACAATTCCTCAGGGCTATTAAAGATTGTTCTCCCRTGTGATTATGAAATGCTTTGTAGTATTCCATTGTAAGAATGTACCATAAATAGTTAACTGTTCCCATTTTAGTAGGTTGTTTTTAGTTTTTTCCTTTTATGAATAACTGTGTGATGCTCATCCTCACCATTAAACYGCTATGCAAATCCTTATTTATTTCTTTGGGATCATTTTCTGGAAGTGAAATTTATGAATTAAAACTTTGCATATTCTTGAATCATTTGATAATTATTGCTAAATTGTCCTTGTGAAAGAGAGTCAGTTTGCCCATGTGTGTGACAACTCTGGGTATTATTGCTGTTTATAATATTTGAGTGTTCAAAGGAAGTGATGCTTAATCATGGTTTTCACTTGCTTTGCACTTGTGACTGGAGAGTGAGTACTCTACTTCTGACGTCATYCTTTCTTAGGTTAGTCTGTTCACAGGGCTGCTTTCCATTCATTGGCAGCTTGGTGATGTGCTTCAGGGAGACTCCTCTCCTGAAGTCACCTCAATTGCCTTTTTACACAGAGCAACACCTGATAGAACCTCACTTGCTTTTTAAATTTCCAGTGTCCAGTGCAAATCACTTCACATGTATTTCTTTGATCCTCACTATATATATATATATATATATATATATATATATATATATATATACTTTCAACGTCAATCATAATTAGGTAGAGAGTTTTTCTCATGTACTTAATTTCTTTTGTTCAGTTTCTGAGTAACTGAACAAAAACTTGTAGGTAAGTAGGTGAGATGGGGTAGGTTGGGGAGGGAGGGAAGGAGGGAGAGGGAGAGAGAGAGAGATAGAGAGAGAGGGAGAATATGAATGAATATGAATTATTGTAATATTAACATCACTTTTGCCTCCTGTTATGTGGGATTATAGGGTATGTTGTATGCATCACGATTAAAAAACAAAACCAACTCTAAACCGGTGTGTTTTTTGCCATGAGAAAAACAGAATTGGATGTTTGAAGCAATAATGTGTTCAGAGCTTAAAGTTCACCTTTGGCTTCTCCCTTTGATACCCGCTCCAAGTCTCATTTGTGCCCAATCTGTGACCTTTTGGGAACAGGCTTACTGACCTCTACAAAAACCTTCTCTTTGGAAAGGATCTGAAACGGTGATAATTTGAGAGTTCTGTCTTCCATGAGTGTCTATAAACTTTATCCTCACTGTAGCATGAGAAATTCTGTTTCCTGTTGAAGGAGTCTCAGACAGTAGCAAGTAGGTGGGGGCAGAGTTTCACAGCAGGAACACTGTGGGGTGTCCCTTGGGCAGTGCACACGGTGATCTCTACCTTCCAGGGATAGTTCAGTAATAATAACATCTCCATATTGTCCTGTGTGCAGTTGTGGTCTGTGCTTTGYGCTTTCCTGCCTTTGAATCCTCTCACTCTCCTGTGAAGGCCTCCTCTTATAGGTTAGGAACCTGAAAGATGCAGATGTTTACAACTTTCCTGGGGTTAGTAAATGGGTAGAGTTAAGACTTTAACCCAAGTCTTTTCAACTCCAGACCCTGAGTTTGTAGGATTAGTACCTTTATGATGAATGGGAAAGAGCTTGAATATTAGTTTGTTGCATGTCAACTTGAAAGAYTGTTAGGGAGGAGCTCCAAGCTATATGGTGGGTAAAGATTAGTGTGAAACAGGCATTTCTCAAGCCTGGCCTGGAAACTAAATGCAAGAGGCCAGTAGTCTGACCAGTTCTTACTTTCTTAGTTCTGGGTATACGTTCTCATTCTCCCAGACTCTTCCTTTTGCTTTCTAAATCATACTCAGTGTTCACTCGTCTCATCCCCATCATTATCCTCATTCACAGTTTTTATAGATTTAAGGCTCCCAGAGTACTTAGCTCCTTCTACCCTCACAATAATGCTGCAAGAAGGCATGGTTATTATACCCATTATAAAGATGAAGAAACAGCATTTCGAAGAAGTTCAGTCACCCTGTTACAAGGGAGTAAGTAGTGGAGCTGGACTTAGAAGCAGGTCTGTATCGTTCTTGAACGCAGGCCATGGGGTCTGGGTCTCAGCCTTACCTCCTAGGTGATACGGTACCCCCTGTCAAGCTCACCAGAGTTCTTCTCTTTGTCTGTCTTAGTTCGGAAGGAGATGGCAAGTTCCCCTGGCTCCTGGTTCTCCAGCTGCCTCATTACTCTGGTCATCCTGCAGATGCCTGCGCACCTGTCAGGTAGGAGTTTCGGAATTTCTTTCCCTGCCAGGGACAAGASGTCTGACCTTGGAGTCTCCAGAATGAGGAGGCGTGGCTTGAGATCTTATTTCTTTGGGGGTTCCCTTTTTCTCCCAATCCTTCCCAGTGCTTTTCGTAGGCTATATCCTTCCCCCAGTATATCCCCGTCCTTATCCCTTCCCAAGTYCTTTCTGCCACATTTCTTTCCATCCCTTCCCAAGTCGTTCCTCCTGCATCCTCCCCTCCCAGATCCCTATTATCTTTTTTTTTTTTCCCTCTCCCCCGCACCTCCCAGGAGATGTCAGCAAGTTCCACCTCGCCCCGCTAGGGGGCACAGCCGAGCTGCTCTGCCCTCTGTCTCTCTGGCCGGTGTCGGTGCCSGTGCAGATAAGGTGGCTGCGGCCCTCCGGATCGCAACGCTCCCAGGCTGTTCACGTGTTCCGGGATRGAAAGGACAGGGATGAAGATCTGATTCCGGAATATAAGGGCAGGACGACGCTGGTGAGAGACATCCAAGAGGGAAGTGTCACTCTGCAGATCCGCAATGTGACCCTTGAGGATCGAGGTCCATACCAATGTCAAATCCAGGTCGGAAACCTGAGTCGAGAGAGCACCGTGACTCTTCAGGTTGCAGGTTAGGATGGGGTTGAGGTGCCTGGGGTCATTTGTGGCAGTTAGATAGGCTTTGTCAATACCTGCTTTGTCCCTCATCTAGAATTTTCTTTGATCTGCAAGCACAGTTTTGACTGCCTGGATGGATCAGCCTTACCATTTGGTCCCACTGATTTTGGTGGAAGTAGTGACTCTGGTTTCTGATGAGGAAGGGACAGGGACTTTGAAAAACACTGTGCAATGCAGATCCTGGTTCTTTGCTCTTATTATTAAGGGACTCATAACTATAATTGTAAGGAAAAGTCCTCAAGGGCCAGAATCCTGGACGTGAGTGACGTGGATGTACTGAATGGGTCCTCTTCTGGGCTTCCAGAATACTTAAAGAGCCAGGAAGGTAGAGACAGTGTTTCTCAAACTATCTTCAATATTTTAAAAATCAGCCTAACCCCAAACTCAGCCCAACCCAAGTCCTTTGCATTTGCTTGAGTGATGCCATTTCTATCTGGTCACACGCTGATTTTGGTCATAGCTTAGTCACACACTGAAAAGAGCAAGTAAATCAATTCCTTTAAAACATACAAGGGCTGGAAAAGTGGCTCAGTGTTAGAGTACTCACCAGGTCTGGTGTGAGTGAGGCCCTGGGTTTGATCCCCAGCCCTGAAAACCAAAAACACAATAGGTGGTACAAAGACTCTTCTAGTTTTTGTTTTTTTTTTCCTCTTTTTTTGTGATGCTGGGGATTGAACCCGTTGCCTTGTGCATGCACTCTACCTACTGAGCTATATCCCCAGCCCCCAAAGACTCTTTCTAAACACAGGTCCTTTGGGGTGCAAAATAAATTTTTAAAAGGGACTGAGGTGCTAACTGGGTGTGGTGGTGCACCCCTGTAATCCCAGCAACTGGAGAGGCTGAGRCAAGAGGATCRCAAGTTTGAGGCTAGCACTGTCAACTTAGTGAGATCCTATTTCAAAATAAAAAATGAAAAGGGCTGGGGTTGTAGGTCAGTGGTAGAGTGTCTTTGGGTTCAATCCTTAGTATTACAATCAATCAATCAATAAATAAAAATTTTTTAAAAAATCCTGGAAGGTGGGGAACAAGGTATCAGAAGACCAGGTATCATGGGCACTTACAGCTTTGGGTGGATTTCAATTATATTTGGGTAAAGCTAGATGCTGTCTTATCCCATTGGGAGGAGAATGGAGGAGTGAGGAGAAAGTAGGCATTGAAGTGTCAATAACAGTTCATCAGAAGTGGACGGGGGCTCTGGCTAGAACCATGYCCTTGCTGAGGCCCTGCCAATCTATTTCTGGGCTGGTTCAGCCAGGCAGTGTCTGCTCTCCAGTTCTAGGTTCTGATCCTTACATCCACATGAAGGGCTACGATGCTGGATGGATCCAGCTTGTGTGCAGGTCGGTGGGATGGTTCCCACAGCCATGGGCCCAATGGAGGGACCCGGAAGGCAGGAGGCTTCTATCCCTGTCTGAGGATCAYTCCCTGGATGAAACCGGACTCTTCCGAACGGCAGTGTCCAGCAGAATCAGGGACAACACTCTGGGGAACGTGTCCTGCACCATCCGCAACATGKTCCTTGGCCGAGAGAAGACCACAGCCATGCTTATAGAAGGTAAAGGCCGCGTGATAGGTCTGAAGGAAACTCCTACCCTACTGGAAACCTTATAAAGACCTTTCAAATGTTTTAATTTCCAAGAATAAAGCACSTATCCTGTAGAAAACTTGAAAATATAGAAGATTTTAAAGAAACCAAAAAATGGCCTATGATGTCACAACTTGTAGAGAAATACTGCTAACATCTTGGTGTATTTCTTACAAGACTAATAGTTGCATGTATTGCTGAACAGTGTCTGTGTGTGTGTCTCTGTGTGTGCTTGTGTRTATGTATTCTTGTACTGGGATTTCCCTTCACTTCCCGTCATGAGTATATTTTGTCCATGTCCTTAAGTAACTCTTCTTATGATTTTAGGGGCTGCATAGTATTCCATTGTACAGCTATAGAAGACTAAGATCAATCAAAACCTAGTTCTGAATGTTTCCCAATTTCTCCTCACATTACCACTAATGATGTGATGAACGTTTTTGCATGTGTTTGAGAGGTGACTCTGATTATTTTCTTAGAATGTGTTTCTGGAAGTAGAATTAATAAATTAAAGGGTTTAGACCTTTTCAAAAGACTCTTGAAATATGGATTCATATGGCAGAGAACAGTGGTTTTAAAGCCATGAAAGATAGACGGTGGCTGGAATCTTGGGGTGGAGAGGGGTCATGGACATTTGCTAATTGTGTCCCTTTTTTATCCTTSTGTTCCCCTCCCCTCTTTTCTTTCTACCGCCACTGTCCCTCTCTGGATGCTAAGTGCTTAACCTGACTGATCTTTACATCTCTCCAAGCCCTTGGGGATGGGGACCCTTATCACCCCCATTTTACAGATGAGGGGAACCAGGCTGGATCTCTAGCCTAGGGTCACACCGTGGTTGAGCAAGGAGACACAGCCAGTTTGGGCTTGCCACCACTTGTTATAGCCCTCTTCTCTCCTTTTCCTTTTTCTCTTTCTTCTTCCTTTCCTCCTTCCTCTCCTTTAGGCCTGCTGCCACAGCACCTAGAGTTTATTTTGCTGCTCCTTCTGGTGCTGGGGACAAAGAGGCTGCCTTCTGCTGTTCCAGACCAGAGCAAAGAGGTCTGAAGAGAGAGGTGGTGGGAGCAGACCTGCTCATGAGAAGGCTCTGGGTGATTACTCAGCAGAGCACTTGCAGGTCCCAGGATTATTTTTTCTTAATTTATTTTTCAGTTTTAGGTRGACACAATATCTTTATTTTTATTTTTATGTGGTGCTGAGAATCRAACCCAGGCTTCACGCATGCTAGGCAAGCACACTACCACTTGAGCCACATCCCCAGCCCCCAGGATTATTTTTCTATTGAGTTTGGGGCAGGATGAGATGGTGGTTGAGAAGCTGAGTTGAAACCATGGTCTTCAGGCAGGGCCATCAACACCCTTCCCGAGACATTAAATCCCACTTACCTTTAATGTCCTCCAGGGTTTGAGTTACCAAGAGAACAAAGACCCTCACCCATCTTGGTCAGATGATGACCAAGAGGTGATGGTCATCCCTAGAGGTGATGAAGGCGGCTGGGATGCACCTGACTGTTTGCATCTGAGGCAGGGAGCAGCTCTCAGATGTCTTCCTGGGAGTGCTCATTGGTGGTCTCTGTTTCAGCCCCATCCCCGGGAATGCTCTCCTCCTCAGCAGTGGCRCTGGCTGTGGTCCTGCCTGTCCTGGGGCTCCTCATCACAGTAGGCATTTGCCTCATCTGGAAGCAAAGAAGATCAAGAGGTAAGTAGATGGGAAGGGAGCCCAGGTTGGGAAAAGACCAGGAGGAAGTGGATGTAGGCAGGATGCTTATCTATAGGTTGGAGACCCTGCAAGTTGYTTGGGAGAATACTGATGGAGCCACGCCCCCAGAGACTCACATTGCAGAGGGAATAAAATAAACTGCAGAAAGGCCCTTGGCAGAGCTATGAATTCTTATCCTTTGAGGTATTAGACAATAATCAGTCACCTCAGCCTTTTAATAAATGAATAAATTAGAGCCTTCTCATTAGGAAATACAATCATATTCATTGGATAAAACTCTCATTAAAATGATCACATTCACAGGATCTCATGATTGCAATGAACTCGGAGAGTTATATAATCCAACACCTCTCCCTCCTTCTGATGGTTTGAAATCCTCTAATCTTTTCAAATGGGCATACACCCTTGGTCCATATTGGGACAATTAGCTTGTTAGTAAAAACCCTCCCTAAAGACCAGCTGAGGGCCGGGGGCACAGCTCAGTTGGTAGATCACTTACCTAGCATGCACAAGGCCCTGGGTTCAATTCCCAACACCATACACACACACACACACACACACACACAGACCAGCTGACCCCTTTTTCTCTCTCCCTTCTAGAGAAGCTTCTCTATGAACAGGCGATGCAGGTAGGTAAGTGTCCTGGGCTGTGTGGGGGAAATATTTCTGTTTTGCTGAATGTTGTATACCCAGCATCCACTAATATAAGTCGTATACCTGAAAATTCCATCTTCCACTGTCCTTGRTGGGGTGGTGATGGGATCTAAATCCATTGCTTCTGGTTTTTAGCAGCTTTTACTTTAATAGCTTGCCTTCTGGTATRTTTGGTGATTTTTGCCTGTGAGCTCATTATTCATAGGTTAAACATGGAGAAGCTTTTATTCAGTCAATACATAATTGATAATGGTCTACTAAAGATCCTGGATCATACTAGATTTGGAAAATCCAATGGTRAGCAAAAGCAGACAAAGATTCTGCCCTTCTGGAACTTTCAAACTAGTCAGGAAGATAAATATGAACTAAATATTTACACAAATAAATATGTACAAATGCCACAAAAAAGGTTCTATGAAAGCCGAGCAGGAGGAATCAAACAGCTTGAGGCCTGAGATTGTAATGTTTGACTTGAAGGATGGTCAGAGAGAGTAGTATTTAAGTGAAGAGCTGATAAGGCACAGAAGCAAAGGGGAGAGATGATAGGGCTGCATCATGGGAGGCCTTGTGGGTCATGTTAAGGATTCCAGTCTGTTTCCTAAGAGCAGTGGTAAAGCAATGAAGGGGGACATTCTGATCAGAGTTGTGTTTTGGAAATCTCTCTCTGAGAAGAGAATCAGAAAGAGTAATATATGATGTAGGGGGAAATYTGAGTTGCCGTTTCTGTTGCCCAGATAAGAGATGATGAAGGACTAGATCAGGGAGTGGAGAAGATGGACGGAAGTGCACAGGTTCAAGAGCAGGTAAACTAGTAGGAATTGTCAAAGTAATAGCAAAGAATCTCATTTTCTTTTCCYTTCCTTCCTCTAGAAAATCTTCTTGCAGACCATGCAAAAGAAAAAGGTAATTACATATTAAAAGTAAAATATAAGGAACAAGTAACATATTCTTTCTCCTTATACATAATTACCAACAGTCAATTARTATTATTGGAATTTATTTTCCAGCATCAAGGGGCTATGGATCTGATGGCAGTRAGGGGAGGCCCATGGTCAAAATGAATAGGTCTGGATCACCATAAGCTGTCTTTATCAGCCTTTCCACCAATCACTAAAAAGAAATCTGCATATCATCTGAAACATATTGATATGTTTAKATGGGATGTATGAGGATCTTAAGAGTCCTTATGATCATGGCATGAAAAGAGGGTACAAGGGAAGCATCACAAGCTCTATGACACCTGGTTTGCCACTTACTTACAGGTCTTGGAAAAGTCACTTTGCTGCTCTGAGTTTTGGTTTCCTCATCTGTAAAATGGAAATAATAAGTTCTCTTATCTGATTGTTTTCAGTATTAAAAAAGACAATCTTGCTGGGTGCAGTGGTGCACACCTGTAAACCCAGTCAAAGGCAGGAGGATCACAAGTTCAAAGCCAGCATCAGCAACCTAGTGAGAACTTAAGCAACTTAGTGAGACCCTGTCTCAAAACAAAATATATAAAGGACTGGGGGTGTGGCTCAGAAGAAATACTTTCTGGTACAAAAAAAAAAAAAAAACCCAACAAAAAAACCCAAAAATCTATGATAGTGCCTGGAACTCCTTTCCTTTCTTGCCATTTCATTTTCATTAATTGAATGTGTGCTGTGAACCACTGAGGGTAAAAGTTAGACTCTCTATTGAAGCTTCTCTGGGAAGACAAGTCACTGGCCCAGATGGCTCCAAATTCAATGATGTTGGTAGCTCTTCTCTTCCCCCACTTATATCTCCTCCAAGKTGATAAGAATGTGGGTGCACACAGCAGACACTCTGGCCATTCTGCCTAGGCCAATTGTTGAGGGCCTCTGACGAAGGAATCAGACAGACTTGGGTTTGAATCCTGCCTCTTTGGCCACTTACTGACTGGATGACCTTGAGCCAATTTCATGTCCCTCTGAGCTTCAGACCATACCTCTGTAAAACAGGAATACTACTTCTATGCCACTCATATTCTTGAGAGGATTCATAACATGCCTCAGTATGAGAAAATGACACAGTCGACGGAAGCTGTTRGTAGTGGAAGTTGCAACAAAAACCCATAAGCCCCTTAGTGTTCCACCGTGTGCATGTACTAATATGTAACCAAAAAATCCCATCATTATGTACAACTATAATACACCAATAAAAATGTGGAGAAAAAAGTAAATATTAAAAAAAAGAATCAATAAGCTCCTAAAGAGCTGTGACATACTTGGCCTCCTTGCTCTAAAACCAAATGACTAACCATGCTCAGCCCTTAGCCCAAGGCCTGGTGGTGGACTCAGGTGTTTGATGCTAATTCTCWGGGAGGGCCAATGATAGGTAGGGGAACAAGTGGACCAGATGACCCTGCCAGAGAAACCACAAAGACTCTCCCATAGCATGTGGAGCATGACCCCAAACTCCTGCAGCCTCCAAATTTGTGAAAATTTTAACTTCAGGGAGTTGCTGTAGAGAATCATAAAGCCACATCAACAAGTTGATGCCAGGCTTTTAACTAGTTTTACACTAGCTAAAACACAATGCAAATGAAAAATAATTTGTGACAAATATGATATCATACATTTATGATATCATCAACAGCAGACTCTAAAAGGGTAGCAGGCTATAATACCACAATTACAAACATATGGAAACACTCAGACAGCAGAAATGAAACCAGACATTCAAAAGAGAAGAGAAAAGAGGAACCAAAATCTGGGTTAGGATGGGGCAGAGAAGGTGGCATCAACACCACTGGATTCCTGAGTCTGATTTATGGGACATGGTATTGGTATTGGTTTAGGGACTAATGGAAAATTATCCCTTTCCATTTTTGGAGGTGGAGGCAGTACATCATGGTGGGAGAGATGGTGAGCCTTCTAGGGCCCTAGGGATAAAGGGGCAAGAACCAATCGCTCACTCCTTCCTCTCTCTCTCTCTCTCTTGTTTTTTAGGAAGACTCCATAAAGGCATGAGTAAGTTCTATTCCTCCATAGCACAACTTGCTTATGCTGACATCCCTGCTTTTGGATGAGCATTTCAGTTTCACTTCCTGGGATAGAAGGGAGGGGGCAAGATTCAAGCCATGATATTGGAAATTCCTTGGCTCTCAGAGTCTTCTTTTCTCAAATATTCCCAGCTTCTCTTTCTTGCATAACTCTTATCTAGTCTATAAATGGGAAATGTTTTACCAAGAGGAGAAATGGCTCCCATGGGTGAAACCATGTGGAAGTATCTTTTATCACCTTGTCATGGCCTTTCCTTATGTGGCATCCAAAGCAGACGGATCCCCATTGACTGAATATGCTGGAGCAGGGTGCCTCCACCATTTCTTCTATAAGAATATCTTTTATTATTTAAAAAGAATCTGAAGACATGTGACATGTCAATTTTGTTTTACAAGGAGAAAATATACATGATAAAATCTAACAGAGATTCAGTGATAGTTTTTTAAAATATTTATTTATTTTTAGTTATAGTTAGACACAATACCTTTATTTRTTTGTTTGTTTGTTTGTTTGTTTATTTTTGGTTAGATGGACACAACACAATGCCTTTATTTTTTTTATGTGGTGCTGAGGATCAAACCCGGGCCCCGCCCGTGCTAGGCAAGGGCTCTACCGCTGAGCCACAATCCTAGCCACTTACTTATTTTTTTTTTATATGGTGCTGAGGATCCAACCCAGGGTCTCGCATGTGCTAGGTGAGCGYTCTTCCGCTGAGCCACAACCCCAGCCCTCAGTGATAGTTTTAAATGAACTTATGTTTTATTCTTTTCCCACGATAATCTATACATATTTATTTTGTCATTACCTGTGGATATGAGAAGCATTAGTTATTTGTCTGCTGGTAAGGTTTGGCTCACATAAAAATTTGTTAATCTTCTGCTGTATCTTTGGGGACCCAAGACCCACAGCTGGAAGATATTGCCATAATAGACATTCTTTTTTTTWAATTTTTTTTTAATATTTATTTATTTATTAGTTATTGGCAGACACAACATCTTTGTTTGTATGTGGTGCTGGAGGATYGAACCCGGGCCGCACGCATGCCAGGCCAGCGCGCTACCGTTTGAGCCACATCCCCAGCCCCCATAATAGACATTCTTAATGGGGAAGTTCTAGAATATAGCTATTGAAGATCTGCTCTAGGACTGTGGGTAGGATGAGACAGTAGCATTGGGGATATGTAGTAGCTCTTGATCTGATTTGTTCAACTATTTTTATTCTTTAGAGAAACTCCGGATGGAACTGAGTAAGTTTCTCATATTCTTATAACCTAAATATCAACTTATCTCCTGTTGTCCTGAGGTTCTCAGTGATAGCTCACCTRCTTTGTTTCTTCTTCCATAGAGTTGAAAAGAGCTGCAGCCAACTCAGGTGAGTGAGATGCACTTTCCCTATGTTTGATCCCCACCCTAAGAGAGTTCTTGATTTCTTTATTGGTTTAACAATTTCCTTGTGCTAGCTCTCTGTTACTACGACAAAAGACTTGAGATGGACAACTTGTAAGGAGGAAAGGTTTGTTTTGGCTCACAGTTATGGAGGTTTCAGTCAATAACTGGTTGCCCCGTTGACTGGGCTTTTGGAGAGGCAGTACATCATGGTGAGAGTGTGTGGCAGAAGATATTGCTCACTTCATGGTAGCAAAGAGAGAAACTGAAAATGGGCCAGAATCCCAATATCCTCTTCAAGGGCATATCCCCAAGGACCTAACTTCCTTCCACTATGCCCCATCTCCTAAACCTTCCATCACCTCCTAACAGGGTCACAGGTTGAGACCAATCCTTCAATACACAGATCTTTGGGAGATATTCATGACCCAACTGTGGCACTTCTTTTATGTCTTTCAGGCTGGAGAAGAGCCCGGCTACATTTTGGTAAGTTATACTAATCAGATTGATTCACATTCAGAACCCATCCTCCTGAAGGCTCTGGAGGTTGGGGCAGGAGGATCATTTTCTTCTGTAGCCTTAGATTTGGCTCCATTTCCTTTCTGATGCAGACTGCAATTTAAAATTTTTTAAATCAAATCCATGTATTTGATTATCAAAAATTTTTTAAACTTTGATTTTTTAGGAGTCACATTTAGATTTAGAAAGTTTACCCTCTTTTAGAACACTGATAAATATTAGGTTTGATTTTTTTGCACGTTTTTATGATTTTTGAGATTTTTCCTTAAGTTTATCAGTTATTTATATTTCTTCTTTGTGAGTTGTCTGCTCCCGTTCCCTTTAATTATTTTTCATTTGCATTTTTAATTTCCTTATAATATTTTGGATACACAAGCATTTATTTTTATGAAGTCAATTTTATTGATATTTTCCTGTGTGGTCTCTTCAATGCTTTCAGATTTGGACAGTCCTTCTTATACTACAATCAGATAAATAGTTACTGTTTTTCCTCTTTATATAAACCTGTCTGTGGACCAATTTTCTTGGGTGATAGTGACCAGATTCTCAGAGAAGAAGGGTATGGGTTGGCAAGATACCCCAATAATATGGACTATGAAAAAGTTCATAATTTTATTCTAAAAGATTTACATCTTTTAATGTTTCCTGTTCCTCTTGCAGCACTGGAGATTGAACTCAGGGGTTCAATCTACCACTGAGTTATATCCCCAATCCTTTAAATTTTTGTTTTCAAATTTTGAGGCAGAATCTTACTAAGTTGCCAGGCTGACCTTGAACTTGTGATCCTCCTGCCCCAACCTCCAGAGTAGCTGGGATTATAGGTGTGCTAATGGCTCTAAGTTTCTCTTTCAATTTTATTCCTTATAATTTGCAATTCTACTGCTGTTTGAGTAGGTTGGTTCTTTTCACTGCTTTGAGCTCATTTCCAGGAACTTTAATTCCCTCACGYTTATACTCTCTGAAATGATCAATTGAAAGAATACTGGGACACTTGGTTGGAATTCTGGAACTCACAAAGCCTCCTGTCTCACATTCACAGTCTAATTTACTCCCACCATCTCATCAGAATATAGATTTCGTGTATTTAACTCCCCAAGAAGAATGTGTTTCCTCTATTTGGGGCAAAAGTGAGACTCACTGCGAGCTTCATAACCAACAATTTCAAGCAAGAATTATTTTTCTCTATACTACTAATAATTTTAGGCAACAATTTCACTCTCTGTAGGAATATGGCATAATCTCATGCATTAGTTCAGCAATCTGTGTGACAGCTCTATGATGTAGGTTCTGTTAGTAGTTCCATTTTACAGATAATGAAGCTAAGCTTAGAGATGATCAAGAAACCCAAGGTCATGTGACTAGCGTATGGCAGAGCTGGGACTGAGACAGGTGGCTGTAGAGTCTAACATCAAAGTCTATGTTTAAATCATTCATTAGATTTCTTTGGAACATCAAAGACAAAGATGTTATTTCCCAAGGATTAAAGAAGCCTCACAGACAGGTGAAGCACTTTCCCCTCTTTTACTTTGTTCCCTGCCAGGTGACCAACTTCTTGAAAGACAGTATTCTATGGTTCTGGTTTTTATGTGGCAGGGACAAGGAGGCTTGAAAAGAAATGGGTCAATGATGGTGACTGCAGACCTAGAGATTATGGCTCTTTCCAAAGACACCCCCCAAAATCCCTTAAGACCTAGTCTTCCCAGTCCTCATTTCTCTGTGACTTTCTGCAGTGGCAGTGACCCTGGACCCAGACACAGCACATCCCAAACTCATCCTCTCTGAGGATCGGAGATGTGTGAAGCTTGGTGACCGAAAGCAGCCTGTGCCTGACAACCCCCAGAGATTTGATTTCGTCGTCAGTGTTCTGGGCTTTGAGTACTTCACGGCTGGCTGTCACTATTGGGAAGTGTATGTTGGAGACAAGACCAAATGGATCCTTGGGGTGTGTAGCGAGTCGGTGAGCAGGAAGGGGAAGGTCACTGCCTCGCCCGCCAATGGACACTGGCTTTTGCGACAGAGTGGACAGAGTCGTGGTAATGAGTACCAAGCTCTCACCTCCCCGCAGACCTCCTTCCGCCTGAAAGAGCCGCCGAGGTGTGTGGGGATTTTCCTGGACTATGAAGCGGGAATCATCTCCTTCTACAACGTGACTGACAAATCCCACATCTTTACTTTCACTCATAGTTTCTCTGGCCCCCTTCGCCCTTTCTTTGAACCTTGTCTTCATGATGGAGGGAAGAACATAGCACCTCTAATCATCTGTTCAGAACTCCAGAAATCAGAGGACTCACTTGTCCCCACGCCAGAAGGAAAAGGCCATGCTAATGGAGATGTGTCCCTGAAGGTGAACCCTTCCTTACTACCTCCTCAGGCCCCAGAGCTTCCTCCAGTGATGTCCTGGCCCTCTGACCTGGGCCCGGCCCTTCAGGGGCTCAAGGCTCCGTCTTTTTAGAACTGTGCCTCGTGTCCCGCTCCCATGACATCCAGCCCTTGGTCCAAACCTGATCCTGCGACATCTCTTCCCTTTAACTGAAATCCAGATCCTTGTGTGATTTCAATCTGTACCACTTCTTTTTTAGGGCTCAATTCTGAACCCTACCTTTCTTTTAGGGTTCCCATAACCCTGAAAAGCAAATGCTCAGTTTAGATGATGTTGAACGTGTGTCCTCAAGATTCAGGGAAAGGGTCCTCTACTCAGGGGGATATTTTTGAGTACTTGCTTCTGATTCATCCTGCATTTGGACTTTCAATGATGCAATTAGATCCCCAGACCCTGACTTCTTACTTATTCTATCAAGGATTGTTTGCCCCTTACCCCACCCCCCGACAACACACCTCTGGCCCCATCTTTCTCTTTCTCACTCTCAGTTTAGACCTCTAGCCCGCAAAGTCAGGTTTTTAAAAATAATAAAATCATATACCCTTCCTTCTTTTTTCAGGAGCTGGGGTAGGGCAGAGGGGTTACATATGCCATCTTTTTAAAATTTTTTTTGATAATGTTTATAACATAGTTTAGAGACATTCAGAGCAAATGTACATTTTTCAAAAGCCCAATTTACATATTGATGATAATCAGGTACAGGAATTTTAAATACAGCAGCCATAATTCTGAGGATCCTCAGAAGCACAGTTAGGAAGCACAGCTGTAACAGAGCAACTCAGCTGTGTGTGGCCTTGAACGGACAGAGATAGAGGAATAGGTCTGTTGTGGCAGAAGAGTCAGAAGAGCCAGTCTGTTGCACTGGCCATTTTGAATACTTTCCTGAGATTCAGAGAGGCCCCATGAGAAAAAAGTGACAGTTTTTTTTTTTTTTTTCCCCACAAGACCATTATAATGGAAGACTTGACTATTTGTGCAGCAAACAGCCTCTTAGGTCAGAGAGTATTGATTTCAAAGAAGTTGTTGGTAGATTCTTATTTGAAAGATAAGAAGGTGGGAGGATAAAATAATGAATCGGATTTTGGGGAGTGATACGGCTTATTTGTTGAGATACTGGCTATTGTTTTGCAGATGGATATACAGTGTGAATATGTAGATCTTTTTATCTGTTTAATGGTCTTTCCATTAGCACTTATAACAGTGTTCTCCCAGAAAACAGAATCAATAGAATGTGTGTGTGTACATATATATATAGTGGGGGAAGAGGATTGATAAGACTTGGCTCATATGATTATAGAGCTGGCAACTTCAAGACCAAGGAAGAACCAATGTTTTCAGTTCAAGTTGAAGGTGGGTAAAAACTAATATACCATACAAAGACTGTCAGGTAGGGTGATTTCTGTCTTGGTTGGGGGAGGATCAGACTTTCTGTTCTATTCAGTTATTTAAATGATTGGGTGAGTCCCACCTACATTAGGGAGAGCAATCTGCTTTACTCAGTTTGCTGATTTAAATGTTGATATTATCCAAAAACATCCTCACAGAAATACCCAGAATAATGATTGATTAAATATTTGGGTACTTTGTGACCCAGGCAAGCTGATACATAAAATTAACCATCACAGTGACTGAGTGGAATTTTTTTGATTTTGTACAGTTATTAAATAAAGCTTTTGGTATCCATTGTTTGTTATGCTGTTTTCCTTATAAACAAAAAGTTTATAAGGGGAAAGGGTTTGGGCTGCTAAGAGAAAAACATATTATGGGTTTGGGATTTTAAAACACTTTTGAGTCCACTGAAGCAAGTTTTAACCACAGTTCATAAAAAAAGACAGTTCTATTCTTGAGTCTGCCTTCTAATGTTTTGTTTTTATCCATTTATAAACTAATTGTGTACAACGGGTGTTTGATTTCTCTCATGCATATTCAGTTCTAAAAACACTTTCCTGAATATTCCAATCTTAAAACTAACATTGTACACACTGGCCCCACCCATTGTGAGATATATATAAATGATTGAACCAAGTGACAGTGGTACTCTACCATTGTGCTTCATACATTCCAAGCCCTTTGCATTTAAAAAAATTTGGGACAGGATTTCACTAAATTGCCACTGTTGACCTGCAATGCGATCCTCCTCTCTCAGCCTTCCGGGTCGTTGGGATTACAGGTGTGCACCATCACCACTAGCACATGGAGAGAATTTACCAGCTGAAAAGAAAATTGATGCTACCCTACACGGTGGCACACCCTTGTAATGCCAGCTACCCAGGCTGAGGCAGGAAGATTGCAAATTAGAGGTCAGTTTGGGCAATTTGGCAAGACCCTTGTCTCAAAATTAAAAAAAAAAAAAAAAAAAAAAAAAAGCTCAGGAAATTTGGCTCAGTGGTAGAGTGCCTCCTGAGTTCAATCCCTCGGTATGGGGTGGAGTGCAGTCGGGTAAGGACGAAAACTGACATTTGTGGAAGCAGAAGCTCTATCTATCTCATCAATAAATCAATCTATCTATGAACTCATTTAATCCTCACAATCGGCCAGGAATTTCTACAGAGGGGAAAATGGGGCTCCAAATGCCTAGGTGGCAGTGCTGGGTTTACAAACCTGTTCTCTATCTCTGAAGGCAGAGCTCCCCCCCGCCCCCCCCCCCGCCCCCGCACCGTTGCCCTGAAAATATCATGCAGATATTGAAAAACCTATAGTTAGCCTGCATATTCACTTAGCTTTTACCATCTTTATAAAATGAAACCCCAAAAACCCGAAATCCTATTGCCGGAAACTTTAGTGATCTTGCATCTACTGTCAGATTTAACTGGGATGCATATAGGACCCAGGAAAAAAAACCCTGCGCAGCGCCGCTGGGAGAGTTGGAGGTCGTTTTTTGGACCGGGAACATTTAGCTCCTCAATAAGGGGACTGTGTTACATTATCTTTAAACTCCCTTCCAGATCCACACTCCTTTAATCTTTAATTATAAATCTTGAGTGAGGTTCCAGACTCAAGGCTTCGCTGGATGACCCTCAAGGGCCACCAATTCAAAGGAAGGAAACCTTAAGACCTTAGAAACAAAACCAATTTCCACAGTTCGGTTCTCAACTTAGCCAATGTTTTCCTCGAGGCTACGGTTTTCTTCGGGACTACAGCTCCCAGCATGCTACGTCCAAGGCCAACGCTTATTGGCGGTCCCGCCTGGGCCTCGTGCGTTGTGGCAGCCAATACAGCCAATGGGAAGGAAGAGTGACTCCCAGAACCCAATCCTGGAGCTGCAGGGTGGGTCCTTCATGGGTTCCGTCTCCGGCTCCTTCCCCCGCCCAGCGAGGCGGCGCTGTACCTGACTGAGCGGCGGGAGTGAGGTGGGTTGCGGCTGGGCCGAGGTCGCGGGGGGAGGCGGACACGACTTCGCTGGGCACTCTGAGGACGGTCCCTTCCCCTCACCGAGGAGTTGGCGGCTGCTGGTTTGCTCCAGGACCCAGTGGGTAGCAAAGGGGCCCTCTGGTCCTTCCACCCGACCCTGTCGCTGTCCCCCAGCCCAGGCGGCCAGTCAGCTGTCCCTACACCCACTCCTTACCCCGCCCTTCTCTGGTTGACCTTTGAATACTCCAGAGACCTGCCACTTAGCATACCTGTCGGATCAGCCCTTCGTTTCTTCCACCCTCCTGTCTCTGACCCACTCTTGCCTTCCAGAACGCTGTACCCTTTGACTTCTCCACCCGCTTCTCCCCGCCCCCTGCACACGACCCAAACTCTTGGGTTCTGGTCTCTGACACCTGATGACGGCTTTTGAACCCCTTCTGCATCACATTTCCTCAGATCTTGTGACGCTTTTTCTAGCTCCCCTGTTCTCAACACCTTGTCCTTGTTTTCTTTCCAAGCTCTTCTCCCCTCATCCCCCACACCTCTCACCTCCTTTGATTTGGTTGCAGACCTGGAACTTTGACCCTTCAGACCACATATCAGCTTGGCTTTCATCATGTGTGATCACCAGCCCCATCTTGACTGGTGTTTCTTAGACCTTGCTTCTTCTCCACTACCTCGATCTCTTTCACTCTTGCTCCGAGTCCCTAGGAAAACTAGCCAAATAGGCCCCTTTCTCCCTCAAATCTCTGAAATATGATGTGAATGGTCTTGTATTTTACCTTTACTGCCTTCTCAGTAGGTAATGATCTCCCTTCTTTTTATCAGTTTGGGTCTTGTTTACCCACTCATCCTGCAAGTTCTACCTCAAATACCATTTCTTCCATGAAGCTGCTTGTCTTTGATCTGCCCATTTCATTTGAACTCCTGTGACTGTTTTTCTTTTCTTTATTTCTGTCCCTCCTTCCCTTTTTTTTCTCCCAACAGTACTAGTATAATGGTTAAAAACCTTGACTTTGGAGTGTGGACTGCAGTTCTGCCAGTTACTTATTTTGTGCTCTTGGGCAAATCACTTAATTTCTATGAGCCTCAGTTTATTCATCTGTAAAATAAGGATGAAAAATGAATAACTGTAAAAATTAAATGATGTGATTCATATGTTTGCTTAGGCCAGGGCCTAGCCCTTTGTATGAGCTTAAAAAAAAAACTATTATAGGCTCCTATATAATATGCCAGGTGCTGTGCTAGGCACTGAGGAGATGGTATATAAGTTCCTTGCCCACTGGAACTTAATCTTCTTATTGAATGGCAGTTTCTGGAGTTCATGTCTATGTCACTACATTGTATAATAAACTGTTTCAGGGTGGAAGTTGTAATTCTGAATCTTTTTGCTCTTTTATTGACCCAGCATTTAGTCCTGGGAAGAGCCCAATCTTGGTAAAATATAGGTTCTCAGAATAACAGTTTTGGAAGTGAATGCAGACCATATAGCTCATTGCATACAGACACTGGAGTCCTAGGTGGGGTAGGCAGGGGCAGGGAATGGATTAAGATAATATCCATTTACTAATTCATTCAAAAGACATTTGCATACCCCACTTTATGCTACAGAAGATTATGTAGAAAAGAGACTGTGATGACCCAGTCTCTTTCCTCATGTTGCTTATAAACCACTAGTGGAAACAGGTAATTACAGATCACCATAACAGCAAGCACCAGATTCTGTGGGCACATAAAGGAGAAAGTAGGGAGGAATCGGGAAATTGCCAAGAAACATTGGATAAGAATAGATGTGAATAGGCATAAAATGGGTTCTGGAGACAAGTTTGGTCTTCCTTTATTCAGTTCATTCAACAAATATTTATTAAGCATCTATGTTGCATCTATTCTACAAGTATAGGTTACATTAGTGAATAAACAAAGATCCCAGCCCTCATAGAACTTGTGGTTGATCATGGGAGGCAGATAATAAACACTGGGAGTGTGGGAGGAGGTTGTGATTTTTACAGGATAATCAGAGAAGAGTAAGTATCAAGGAATAAGTACTGGTGTTTAAAGCAGGCTTATTAATCTTCATATTGCTTATCTAAATTCTTCAAGGAATGTTAACAGGGATTGTTAAATGGCAGTTTGTTACCTGTTGTTTTAAACAGAGTTTTATTGAAACACAGCCTCACTCATTTACATCTTGTGTGTGCTGCTTTCATGCTATAGTGGCAGAGTTGAGTAGTTACAACTGTGATCCTATGGCCCTAAATATTTATTGTTTGTTATCTGACCTTTCACAGAAAGTTTGCTGATCTCTGCTTCTTAGAGAGTTGATATTCTATCTTTCACATTGAGATTATGTAATCTTGTACTATTTTTTAATTAAAACATGTTTCTTTCCTAATAATATCATTGAAAGGATCTTTTTGATCTTTTTGTGCTCTTCACAAAGCTGGGATATAATGTCTTTGATAATTATACTAGCAGCTGTCTTGCTGAATGAACACTGTGTCTCGCAGACCCTGCTGAGTGTAGTATAGGCATTTTCTCTAATACAGAGTCCCACAGTATAACTATCTATATTGTGGGTAGTTATCAGTTTTAGAGATGAGGGAGTTGAGTCTCAGAGTGATTGAATAATTTGCAAAGTTATAAAGATCATCTGTCTGTGTCACCATTATAACTTATGCTAATGTAGTCAATGCCCCTTTTACTGTGGCTTATTTTCAAAAATGTTTGCTGACTTGCAGGAACCATCAGTCTTCGTTATTGTCAGTGTTCATTAGAGTCTGTGCCTCCCTCCCTCATTCCTTTGTTCTTGTCGCTCTGGACAGCATCTCCATCAGCCCACTCAGCCTTTTGAAATGTCATCATTTCTTCAAGGACCAGAGGACATGCCACCACTCTAGTCTTATCAGAAGTACTTTTTTCTTCCCCTCCTTTCCTGTCCTTGGCTAAAGGAACCAAAGGATTCTGTGCCACTTAGCAAGCATTTTACTGATGGTTGCATAAGCAGGCCGTGTGCTGGGCATTGTATGTTTAGCTGTGTTGTGGAGAGGAGTGTGGCTTGTGTATCAGTGTTTATATCTTTGTGTATGTGGTATGTATCTTTGTGTGTGTGCATATGACTGTGTGTGATATAAGAGTATGGCTGTTTGTGTGTATGGTACTTGAGTATGTGTCCATGTATATTGAATGTGGCTATATGTGTGGGAGGGATGTGTATGGTATGTGATCTGTATGTATGTAGCTGTGTATATGTGACTGTAATGTGAAGGTGTATGGATGTTCATGTGTCTGTATGACTGTGTGGTGTGTGCATGGCTGTGTATGTATGTGGTATGTGTGTGGTATAAGTGTGACTGAGTGTGTTTGTGGTATATGTGACTATATCATGTGAGAATGTGACTTTGTATGTGTTTTGAGTATGTGTGACTTTGTGTGTGTATGTTTTTATGTGATGTTTGAGACTGATGTGCTCCAACCGTCCAGCGCAGGCAACTGAACCAAAGTCACTGGTGTGAATTTGGGGTGACACAAAATACCTCATAGACATGGAATACCTTTTTATAAACTTCAGGAGGGCTTCCCCTGCTCCCAGCCTCAGGCTCCCACAATGGGGGCAAAAGAAAGTCACAAGAGGCTGAGACAGAGGGAGTGCTCGTTCTCCAGTTGGCTTTTATTGGGGGACGCTGTCAGATAAAGGGCAAGGGGTAGGATTACAAAGGAACTATAACTCAACCCTACCAGGTAACACCTAATCCTGGAGCCACACCTCATTCCTCATTATCTGAGTTAAAGCCCAATAAGTTATTGCGGGGTGCAGTAATTGTTCAGTATCTCTTGCTCAGGACTTAAGGGCGTGTATTTCCAGAGCAGCTCCAGGCACTGGTGGAAGTGTGTACTGACCAGTCAGAAGAGATATAGTTCAGGCCCTGCAATAGGTTTTGGAGGTCTAGATATTAACCCTTTATTTACTAGATTATGGTAAGATCTAGAGAGGGATGGGGTGGTGGAACATTTAGGATTCAGACCTGGGTCTTGTAGACAACTAGGAGGGCCTTAGGAATGAGAGGGTCTGTTATTTTTGTTTCAAAGGCAATCAAATAAGTGGATACTTTTAATCCATTAAGTCCCAAGTTTTAAATTCTGCATACATAATAAATATTCACATATTTCAAAATTACCATAGTTGGTATATATTTGTTGCTCAAATTAAGTTTTTATAGGTGTTCCACATCTGGGACCATAGGACAAAATGGGTTAAGAAACATTTTTAAAATAAATTAAATGTAAAGAGAGTTTTAGTTACAGTTAGGCAGAGAAATTAAACTCATCCTAAAACAAAAGCTCCTTACACACAAATCTAGACAGTCTAGACAGTCATCTTTTAGTGGTATTAAGAAGAGTGACATTGTTCAATTGCATAGAAATCATCTGGGTGGTAGACAAAGGTTGTGTCTTGTTTTGCTCTGATGGGTAGCGTTATATATCTGTCAAAGTTTGTCACTTGAAAGTTGGTAAGTAAAAGCTTTCTGTCCAAGCAGTCCAGTTAAATCAGGTTATCCTGATAGATGTTTCCATAGGGAAGGTGCATACATGTAAGATTTTATAAGGTCTGGCTTGATCTAAGGAATAAAGGTGTTGAACATTTGTGTTCATTCTCAGGGTTCAGAGATGGGCAGTGAGAAGGAGCAGAGTCCAGAACCACACCTGCCTGAGGAAGGGGAAGCGGGTAAGCCTTGGAGAGTGGATGGCTCAGAGGGTTCTCACATCCCATCTGGGGAAAAGGATCATGGGCAGGAGAACTCACTGATGAGGCCACAAGGAACACATTCAGAAGAGGCATGGCAGAAAATCATTGCCCCAGCTGAAGGACCAGAGAATCCTATTGCTCCTCCAAAGCCTGAGGCAGAGGAGAAGCCCTTTATATGTGTTCAGTGTGGCAAAACCTTCACCAATACCTCTAACCTGAGAACACACCTACGGATCCACACTGGTGAGAAGCCTTACAAGTGTTCCGAATGTGGTAAGAGCTTTTCCCGAAGCTCCAACCGCATCCGGCATGAACGGATCCACCTGGAAGAGAAGCACTACAAATGTCCCAAATGTCAGGAGTGCTTTCGGCGGCGCTCAGACCTCACCACGCACCAGCAAGATCACCTGGGCAAGCGGCCATACCGCTGCGATATCTGTGGTAAGAGCTTCAGCCAGAGTGCCACACTGGCTGGGCATTATCGGACCCACCTGGAGCCAGCGCCCTACATCTGCTGTGAGTGTGGGAAGAGCTTCAGCAACAGCTCCAGCTTTGGAGTGCACCACCGCACCCACACTGGTGAGAGGCCATATGAATGTGCTGAATGCGGGCGGACCTTCAGTGATATCTCCAACTTTGGAGCACACCAGAGGACCCACAGAGGGGAGAAGCCCTACCGGTGCACTCTTTGTGGGAAGCATTTCTCCCGGAGCTCAAATCTTATTCGTCATCAGAAAACACACTTGGGTGAGCAGAATGGGAAAGATTCCAGCTGAAGGGAAGCTGCAGTTAGAGTGGGAAGAGAGAGTGAGCGACCCATTCTAATGGAGGAAGAAGACCTTTAGGATCTGTTGCTGCCACTTTGATTTCAAGTGCTTCATCCCACTTTGGAGATTGGTTTCCTGTTGCCTCCGAAGCCAGGATCTCCAAGAAATCCTGAGAAGGGACTCTGAATAAAAATCCTCCCGGGCAATTTCTTGCCATAGAAAGTCAGAGAACCCAGTCCTGGCTTTACCTTGTTGGATGTGAAAGAGAAGTAGGGGAGGCTCCAGACATGTTCATGTTATTGGGTTAGCAGTTCTCTGGCCTTTGAGGAAGCACCTGTGAGATGGCATCACTGTCTGAAGTACCTTCATATTGTCCATGAACTGTTTAGGGTACACTGCAGTGGGCTGCTAGGTTCCTACCTGCTGTACCCCAACTCAAGTCGTGCTTCTGGATCTGGAGGCTGGGAGGAGTGGCCCTCCTAATGGAAGGGTCCTTCTTGGCCTGAGAGGAGGTTTGAGGTTCTGTCTTAGGAATGAAAGAGAAGCCCACTAGAATCGTCACACTCCCCCATATTTGTTACCTATTATCCCCACTTCACTCTCCATTTGTTTCCTTGTGATGATTAGCACTTAATGATTCAACAAAAAAGACCCATGGACCAACTTGAAGAGGGGGGGAGTGAGGGAGAGTGTCCCAGTGCAGCCATTCTGGAAGGGAACTGAATTCTAACAAAGAAAGATGGGAGCTGGAGTTATGGCTCAGTGATAGAGCACTTGTCTCGCAAGTGTGAGGCCCTGAGTTTGATCCTAGCACCACCTAAAAACAAATAAAGACATTGAGTCCATATACAATTTAAAAAAAAAGGAAAAAGACAGATAGGTGGCTCTTCTGAAAAGCAAAGAAAAGGAGGCTGAGTCTTTTAAGTGTTTGAGGAGAAGGGAGAAAGGAAAGGACTAACATCAATTGAGTATTCACTATAAGCTATTGATTCTGCTGGTTACATCAACATTCTTCATTTCACTTAGTTGTCAGCAGTCCTCAAGGGTATAAGATGAGGAAACAGAAGCAAGGTATATAGTAGAGTCCATTTAAACTTGGGCCTCCTTGGCTCTCTACTGATGCTCTTTTTTTTCACTACATTCACATTGCTGACCTCTAAAGGAGGAGCCATGTAGTCGATAAACCTGGAGATGGGAGCCGGCATGGCCTTGTGATATGGCTCTGGACTATTCACTGTGTGGGAAGTCAGTACTAAGCATGAGACCCTTTTCAACTTTAGATTACTGATTGAGGATTTCTTCTGTTGCTGGAAAAATGTCAGTGGCAGGGGTAGATGTTGAGGGATGGGATAAGATGAGAAAAATCTTAAGACCCATAGTAAGTTTGCCATTAATATCAATAATTTATCCCTAAGATTGGGAATACAGGGAATTATGCCTGGTTTTCTGGCCTTCTGGCTTAGATCTGGCTTCACATGGCCTCAGATGGTTTAGATTTGGCTTCATATGAAAGTTTAGTGTTCACCTAGCTTTCCTCTAACAAATACAAAATACCCCTATCTTGCTTTACCCCATGGTGCTGGAGATTGAACCCAGAGCCCAACCTAGCCAGGCAAGTGCTCTACCACTGAGCTATACTCCAGCCTCCAGATGTCTCTTTCTGTCTCTCTAGTCAGTTTGGGTCCCTGCCTTCCAGAGTAAGGGTTCCTCTCATTTGTAGCTAATGGCAGAATGTGAATCTGTTGAAACTGATACACCCATGACCTGACCTATCATGTGGGGTCCCTGCCACTTGTTCAGGGAGAGATATGCCAGGAACTTCACAGTCATCCTCTTACTAAATTCTCAACCATAGGAAAATTATGCACATTTAACAAATGTGGAAACAGGTGGATAGAAAGTTACTTCCCAAGATAAAAAAGCAAGTAATTGTCAGGGCCAGGAACTGAACCTTATTCTACCCAAAGCCTGTGATTTTTTTTTTTTTAAGCTGTAGAAAACTTCCCAAATTATTCCCTTACATTTGTAGGATGATTTACAGTTACAAAACACTTTAATTTCATATTCATTTGTTTTTGGAAAATCTACACACAATATTTTAAACATAGTCACCTAAACTTAGACATGTAAATTGGCACATGACCTTAATAATAAAAGTCACCATCTATTAAATGCCTACTGAGTGCCAGTTATTGTACACCTATTATCTATGATCTTCATACTATAAAGTAGAAGTGTCTCCATTTTCAAGATAAGAAAATTCTACAAGGTTAAATGACCTGACTTGGCAGTGCTGGGATTTATTTAGGTATGTTTGATGCCAGGACCAGGCTCTTTATCATATCCACTGCCAATCTAGATCTACTGGTTCTTTCCCAGCCCAGGGAGCTTGGTATGGTTAACCTTCTAGACCTGGAACCTTAGAAACAACTGCAGTGACTTTTGGAGACTTCTTGCCTTCAGCCCAATACCAATGTACCAAGTATCTGCTTTGATCTTGGGTCAGGACTTCCTGGCCAATCTCATTTGCCCTTTTTTGACCTAGTTCATTAGCTGTGGTTTCTATGTTGGTCAGTGCTTTGACGTGTGTGTGTGTGTGTGTGTGTGAACTTCCTTTATTTTCTCCTTCACTTTTTTCTTTTCCTTTCTTCCTTCTGAAAATTCTGTTAAACCAAGCATTTTATAAGTTTAGAATCCTTTTCTAGAGATTAGGAATTTGGCATGTCACTAGCTTCTTCCCCTCACTCCTCCCATCTTGCCCTTAACCCTTTCCTCCTTTTTATGGTTTGCCATAAAAGACTGTGGTGCATCTTACTACAGCTGGTGTCTTACCATCATCAAAGTTAACTTTTTTCTACACATTTTAACATCTCTAGTTACAAATGTTTTTAGAGTGAATGAAAGATCATATTACAGTAGAGATATGAGTCAATAATGTCAGCAAGATGGTGAAATAGGAAGTCCCAGTCACCATTTTCCCATAGAGACACCAACTTAACAATATACAACCTAAAATACCTTTTTGAGTTCTTTCAGAAGTAAGGGGCTTCAGACAAACACAAAGCCAAGAAAGAAACACTGAAATGGTAAGAATCATTTTGCTTTACCCAAGATTGCCTTTCTTATAAGCAGCACAGTTCAGCTTGAGCCATAGATTCTTCTGCGAGGGTGAAAGAGAAGGGTGTAACATACTTTCACTGAATTTTCAGAGGGCAGCCCGAAGAACTGGTTCCAACCTCACCTAACTTGGAATGCTGAAGGAAATGGAACAGTTTGGATGCCTAGGGGAGCCACTAAAAGCAAGAGAAGTTTGCTGTCTCACCAAAGAGCATACACTATGGTACATGGGTCTTCATACTCAGTATGACTGGGAGAAGATTCTCAACTGCAGCTCCTCCCTGGAGAGGGAGGGAGAAGAGTAGAACGTATGTCCAATATTCAAACATTTTGAAGAATTTATTGGAGTCAACAAAATTTGGATGCTTGGGGTTCACAGAGTAAAAAGGAGAACAGAGAAACTGGTTGCTATAGCACCAGAGAGCCTGCAGCACTGTAGGCAGACACCAGAGGGAGCAAGAGATTATTGAGCTCCTGAAAAAGAAACTGGCAAACATCTAAGAAATTACAAGCATAAACCCAGAGAAGTCACATTCCCCCGCAAAGTATTCAGAGATCCTCAGAATTTAACCACACTGATTACTAAAGGTTTTTATTTGTATGAAGCCAGTCTATTAAAAGTTTTTTTTTTTTTTAAAGAACCAAACAGGGCTGGGGCTGGGGTTGTGGCTAAATATATAGACAAATATAAAATAAAAGAATATAAACCAGGCGCAGAGGCGCATGCCTGTAATCCCAGCAGTTTGGGAGGCTAAGGCAGGAAGATTGCAAGTTCAAAGCCAGCCTCAGCAAAAGCGAGGCGCTAAGCAACTCCGCAAAACTCTTGTCTCTAAATAAAAAACAAAAATTGGGTTGGGGGAGCTGGGGTTGTGGCTCTCAGTGGTACAGCACTTGCCTAGCATGTGTGAGGCACTTGGTTTGATTCTCAGCACTGCATAAAAATAAATGAACAAGGGCTGGGGATGTGGCTCAGGCTGTAGTGCGCTTGCCTGGCATGTGTGCGGCTGGGGTTGGATCCTCAGCACCACATACAAACAAAGATGTGTCCGCCGAAAACTGAAAAATAAATATTAAAAAAATAAAATAAGTGGACAAAATAAAGGCCTATCAATGTTAAAAAAATATTTTTAAAAAATTGGGCTGTGATGTAACTCAGTGGTTGAGTGACCCTGAGTTCAATCTCCCCTCCCCCTAAAAAAGTAATATAATGATGGTACATAAATCGCTTAATTCTGATATAAAATTTAAGAGCAAAAATCACTTAAAACTATGTTAATGAATACAAAATATTAAAAGACATTAATAGCATGAATTAGCGTGGGAAGGTAAAGGGATAGAGTTTTTGTATAGGATTGGAACTATAGGCATTTACAACAAGGTTGTAGGATATAAGGTTTATATACAAAAGTTTATCACTTTATACCAGCAATGAATGAGTGGAATTTGAAGTTGAAAACACAATATGGTTTATATTAGCATCCCCCCAAATGGAAATACTTATATGTAAATCTAACAAAATATGCACAAGATCTACAGGACAAAAACTACAAAACTGTGTTAAAAGAAATCAAAGAGAGGGCTGGAGTTGTGGCTCAGTTGTAGAGTGCTTGCCTAGCACGTGTAGGGCCCTGGGTTCGATTCTCAGCACCACATAAAAATAAATAAAATAAAGGTATTGTGTCCAACTACAACTAAAAAAATAAATATATTTTTTTAAATTTTTAAATATTTATTTTTCAGTTTTCAGTGGACACAACATCTTTATTTTATTTTTATGTGGTGCTGAGGATCAAACCCAGCGCCCCGCACATGCCAGGCAAGCATGTTACCGCTTGAACCACATCCCTAGCCCAAATAAATATTTTTTTAAAAAAGAAATCAAACAAGAACTAAATAAATGGAGAGATATTTCATGTTTGTGGTTAGGAAGGCTCAGTATTATCAAGATGTCAGTTTCCTAACTTGATCTGTAGATTGAATGAAATTCCAATCCAGATCCCAGCAAGTTATCTTGTAGATATTGACAAAATGGTTTTCAAGTTTATTTGGATAGGTGAAAGACTCAACATAGTCAATATTGATCAAGAAGACGACTAACACTACTTGAATTCAGGACTTAACTATAAAGCCATCATAATCAAGACAGGGTGGTTGATGAAAGAATAGGAAAGAGTTCAATTGCACAGAATAGAGAGCCCCCAAAATATACCCATACAAATATAGACAACAAATTTTTGATAAGAGGAAAGGAAATACAATGAAGCAAAGTTAATATTTTAAATGATACTGGAACAATTGGATATCCATTGCAAAAAAAAAAATTGAAGAGAAAAAGAAATCTAGACACAGGCCTTAAACTTTTCACAAAGAGTAACTTAAAATTAATCAGAGACCTAAATGTAAAAGAAAATTATAAAATTCCTAGAAGATAACAGGAGAAAATGTAAGTGACCCTGGGTATGATGATAATTCTTTAGATACCACACTAAAGAAACATGAAAAAAACAATTGAGTCAGGTGCTCATGCCTATAATTCCAGCTACTTGGGAGACCGGCAGGAGGATTGCAAATCAAATCTAGCCTGGGGAATGTGACAAGACCCTGTCTCAAAATACAAAATAAAAAGGCTGGGGATGTAGCTCAGTGGTTGAGTGCCCCTGGGTTTAATTCCCAGTCCCACAGCAAGGAGAAGAAGA